CCCTAAAGCCTAAGCCCTAAACCTTAGGTCGGCACATCCACTCGCTCGATCTTCACCTTGGTAACCTCACCCTCTGCGAGATCCGTCCTCGAGGTGTCTGTGGATGTTTGAAACTACAGAAAGGATCTAGGGTTTAGGGTTGCGGGGTTTAGGGGTTTAGGGGTTTAGGGTTTAGGGTTTAGGGTTTAGGGTTTAGGGTCTAGGGTTTACGGTTTAGGGTTTGGGGTTTAGGGTTTAGGGTTTAGGGATTCGAAGATAGGGTATGTATAGGGTCAAGGGTTTCTGACAGTCATTTTTTGCACCAAGACCTGCTGGGTTACGGGTTGAAGGTGGGCCATAGGATGCGTGTGCACGGAGGGGAAAAGTGCATAGGCAGCATAGGAGAAGGCTGTGCCTTGGTCAGCATCCAAGCGTGGAAGTCCTTGACCAGCTCTTTGGAATCTGCGCACGGCCAATTCTCTGCCATGTCATCCCACAAAGGTGTCCGGAATAAAGGTGATGTCCCAGCTTTTGTAGAAGCCTTGGCTCGCAACGTCTCCATGACCTCGCACACTGAGCTATTAGGCAGGTGGAGAGTCTGCACGTGTTGGCGGGCAAAGGCCCCCGAGTGCCTGTCGCTCCATCCCGGTACTTCGACGGTGTTGGCCGATTCTGCGCTTGATAGGAGGATCTGTTTCTCGGAATAGGTTTAGGGTTTAGGGTTTAGGGTTTAGGGTTTAGGGTTTAGGGTTTAGGGTTAGAGCAAACACTCCTTATTTACCATACTGGCGTCAACGAACGTTAGGTTTCAGGGCGTATGGCTTGGGCTTTTCGGCTTTAGGCTTGCGGGCCAGGGATGATTTGGGGGTTTCCGATAAAAGGGCACCTTAACATAGTACCCCAAATAGCAACTTAAATAGTAGGATCCTTATTATAAGGACCCCAAAATAAGATAAGGTACCCCTTATTTTCGGAAACTCTCATTTAGGGTAAGTACGGTTCTGACTTGAGGACCCTGGCTCAACTACCGCTTTTTTGAGGTAGGCTTTAGGGTTTAGGGTTTAGGGAATAGGGCATTAGAGTTCAGCGAGTGCCTTAGACTTGGGGTGTTGGCCGTCCACATCATGAAGCCTCATATAATGAATTCTTTCTGATTCTGCCTACCTGCTTAGGGTTCCTTTTTGTGGTTACATAGTTCCGTAAAATCAAAAAGGTTGGTCTTTTAGGCCACAAGCAGGGTATGAGGAGCCCGAAGGAATAGTAGTGTTTAGGGTTCAGGGTTTAGGGTTTTGGGTTAAGGGTTGAGGATTTAGGGTTTAGGGTTTAGTGTTTAGGGTTTGGGGTTCAGGGTTTAAAGTTTGGTAGTGTTAATTCTTCCGGCTTGCATAATCGATCTCCAATTCAAACTGTAACAGTGCAAGGCCTGAACCTGAACGCCCCGCCACCAGGCGGACTCCAGACGATCTCTTGCCCCTATTGCCCCTATCCCTAAACATTCCTAAACCCTAAACCCAAGTCTTTCAACCCCTCTTCTCGAATCACAAGAAGATCCTAAACGCGAAATGCTAAGACGCCAGAAAGCTCAGAAATTGATTGTGAGCTTGAACTGGGCTGGCCTTTAAACCCTCTGAAAAAATATTTGTTTAAAGGGCCCCTTACAAAACCCAACTAAGGAACCTAAAAAATGTTCCCCAAAACCAAACCTGGTTAACCCGCAGGGGGTCCAGGGCCCAGATGCCAGTTTGGCCAGAACAGCTTCACCCCCTGCGAACAGTGGTTTAGGGGTTTGGGGTTTAGGGTTTAGGGTTTAGGGTTTAGGGTTCAGGGTTCAGGGTTTAAGGTTTAGGGTTTTAGGGTTCCCAAGGATAGTGCCATGTTGGAGTATAGGGGCTTGAATAATTCCCTACACCATTTTGGGGTTCCTTTTTGTAAAAAAGGTATAATGGGCGGTTTAGGGTTCAGCGTGTAGATATAGTATAGAATGGGACCCAAGACTCTGTTCTAATGGCTAAGGCTCCTAAACCCAAAACCCGTATAGAACCCTTTAAGGAACCCTTTACAGGAGCCCCAGACCCCTATTCTAATCACTAAGGGTTTAGGGTTTAGGGTTTAGGGTTTAGGGTTTAGGGTTTAGGGTCCCAAAAAATGAGATCGGAAAGTTTAGAGGGGCTTGAGGTTCAAGTCTTTTGAGGTCCGGCTTCAGGGTTTAGCGCAAGGTTTCGGGGTTTAGGGTGCAGGGTTTCGAAGTTTAGGGTCGAGGGTTTAGGGTTTAGGGTTTCCTGGTTTAGGGTCCAGGGTTTCGGAGTTTAGGGTCCAGGCTTTCGGAGTTTAGGGTTTAGGGTGTCCGGGTTTAGGGTCTAGGGTTTAGGAGTTTAGGTCTAGGGTTTAGGGTTGCCGGGTTTAGGGTTCCGGGGTTTAGGGTTGAAGGTTTCGGGGTTTAGGGCTTAGGGCTTAGGGCTTAGGGTCTAGGGTTTAGGGTATGGGCTGAAGGGCATTTGGGTTTTGGGGGGTCTATGATGGTCTATGCCTTTGGGGATTTTCCTGGGTGCTCGTTCTGGGTATGAAACCGCCTGTATCTGAAGCCCTCTAACAGCTGTATAAAACCCAATGGATGAGCTCTAATCCCTAATTACATACTGAGCCCTAAGCCGCAAACCCTAAACTCTAAACCGTGGCTGAAAAGCCCTAAACCTTAAACTCTACACCGTGGCTCTAAACCCTAAACCCTAAACTCTAAATCGTTTCGCTAAACCCTAAACCCCGAGCCCTAAACTCTAAACCGTGGCTCGAAACATTAAACCCTAAACCCTAAACCCTGAACCCTAAACTTTACCTAAACCCTAAACTCTAAACCGTGGCTCTAGATCCCTAAACCGTGGCTCAAAACCCTAAACCCTGAGCCCTAAATGCCAGTAGTACAGGGGCCTTAATAATTAGAACAGGGTTTGGGGTATATTATACTATAAGCATAGTAAGGAGCCCCCAAAACCCTCTTCTAATTATTAAGGCCCCTAATCCGAGCCTAAACACTTATAGTAGCCCTTATGGTATCTCTTTTTAGGATCCCTTTAAAGGACAGAAGAGGAGGCTCTTAAAGGAACCCTGTTCTCATTATTAAGGCCCCTACAATAAGCACCCTGGGGTGCTCGAGCCTAGGCCGGTAACCTGGCAATGAAGAGTTCCAAAACACCAATTGTTCAAAAGCGTTTTGAGTTTAGGGATTTAGGGTTTTGAGTGTAGGGATTTATGGGATTTTAGGGTTTAGGGTTTAGAGTTTAGGGTTTTGGGGTTTTGTTTTTGTCTTTTTTGGTTTAGGGTTCAGGGTTCGGGGTTTAGGGTTTAGGGTTTTGGGTTCGGGGTTTTGGGTTTTGGGTTTTAGGGTTTAGGGTTTCGGGTTTTGGGTTAAAGGATTCGTTGGAATATTGTTGGGTGTGATAAGTCGCGGTAGGTCTAGGCATACCTTGACATACATGGGGCTCATCATTATGCTCTCATGTATATCCCCCTGTCGGTAGAGACGAGGCTGGCACACTATATGAGCCTTGCGCACGCGGCCGCGGGGGGGACAGCACCGCCCACCCACGGCAGTCTTGAGTCTCCGTTACAAGCACCAGGTCAAGCCTCTTGGAGGCTCCCTCTGTCTCTGCCTGCGAAGCACTGCTGTCTGCAAGAAAACTTTGCGACCTGTACTTTTGTTCAAAAGAACCGGGCGTTTTTGCAAGGCCCAAAATCCAAGCAAGGCTGCACAGAAAACAAGGTTGGTTCAGGCGGGCGGCCTATGCCTTGAGTTTAGCGTTGCGGGTTTAAGGGGCTTTAACCCTAAACCCTAAACCCTAAACCCTAAACCCTAAACTCTGAACCCTTTTAAACCCTAAACTCTAAAACACCTGCGAAAGCACACAGTCGACACACACTCAGATGAACCTTACGTAACTCCACTTTCCCGATTTGCCCGATTCAACTGGAAGCCTGCGGCGCTGACACCCCATCAAACCTTCAGGGACGCTCAATATAGGGGCCTTACTAATTAGAGTAAGGTTTTGGGGTCCAGTATGCGATAATTCTAATAAGGAACCCCGAAATAGTATAGGTAGTTATTAAGGCCCTAAACCCTAAACCCTGAACCCTAAACCCTAAACCCTCCACCAAGTACACACCGCGAATCTCCGAATCCTCGGCCAATGAACACACAGACTGCATACTGTAGGGTTTAGGGTTTAGGGTTTAGGGAGGAGCCTTACAAATCAGAATAGGGTTCGTATAGTTCTAAAAAGAAACCCTCAGGAATAATATTGGTACTTATCTAGGCTTCTATATTACCACCATCTGTCAGGAGTATCCCGCGGATTTTATGTCGTAGGGATCCTGGAGTAGGGAGGCTCAGTCAATTAGGGGCCCTTGGTTGATGAGATTAGGGACCCTGGGTCAGTAATGTGTGGGGTTTAGGGGTTTAGGGTTTAGGTAATGAGTGATAGTATTCCCTTGTCGTCTCCGTTTAGGGTTTAGGGTTCAGGATTTAGGGTTTAGGGTTTAGGGTTTAGGGTTTAGGGTCGTTCAGGATAACTTCCACCGAAGCCCTTGTCAAGTTCAGTCTGAAGGCCCCTCTATGTCCAAGCGATATTGGAGTCTGCGAGAATGAGAAACCCTCCACACCACCCTTAACCTAATATAGGGGCCTTAATAAGTAGAATCGGGTTTTGGGGCCCATTTAGTACATGTATAATGGGGAACCCCAAAACAGTATTGGTATTCAGGCCCCTACATTAAACCTAAACCTTCGACCATTCCGGTGGCCTGCTGGCGGGGTCACGGACACGATGAAAGCTTTGGGAATCTGGCAGTCAAGCCATGTTTCGGGTTTGGGTTTGGGTTTAGGGTTTAGGGGTTGGGTTTGGGGTTTAGGGGTTTTGGGGTTTAGGGTTTGGGGTTTGGGGTTTGGGGCTTAGGGTTTAGGATTTCGGGTTTGGGGTTTCGGGTTTGGGGCTTATGTCGGGGCAGACTTTCATAGGGTTGAGGGTTTGGGGTTCTAGTTTGGATAAAAGGTTCCCCAGCAGCCTCCTGATAAGAAGTCTACCCTTGTTCTTACTATTCGGTTTTAAGAAAGGGAACCCAGACAGAAGAAGGGCACAAGGGAACTACTGGGGAATGCCATGGACTTTCCCTAACACCCTGAGCCCTAAACCCCAGAACCCAAACCCCCACCCATAAACCCTAAACCCTTAACACCAAATTCTAACCTGAACCCTCACCCATAAGCCCTAAACCCCAAACCCTGAACCCTACTCCCGTGTAGTCCATTATAGATCCCTTACAGGAGCTCCCCAAACCCGAAACCCTAGACCTACTTGCATCGCAGGATCCTAAAGCTTCAGAAGGGTTTAGGGTTTAGGGTTTAGGGTTTAGGGTTTAGGGTTTAGGGTTTAGTGTAGTGATTTAAGGTTTGGGGTTCAGGGTTGGGGTTTTACATAACGGACCCAGACTTCCCCAACTCCCGTAATTAAGGAATACACCTTAAACCATAGTAGGATCGCCTCCCTGATTTAAGGTATATTCCTGAATGAAGATTAAGGAATACACCTTAAACCATAGTAGGATCGCCTCCCTGATTTAAGGTATATTCCTGAATGAAGGAATACACCTTAAATTACAGTAGGATGCCAATGTGACTTAAGTTAAAGGTATATCCTTTTCTTTCGACATTCTGCAAAGCCTCACACGTGCTTTAAGAACATCAGAGGCAGCACCCCTAAACCTTAAACCCCTAAACACCCAAACCCTAAACCCTGAACGCGAAACCCCCGTAAACCCCGGAACCCTAAAAGCCAAAACGAAAGCCTCGACGAAAACGGAACTCTGTGGAGAAGGTTTTGGGCTCAATATGGGTTTTGGGATTCTAAGGGCGTTTAGGGTTTAGGGATATCGGGCTCTTCAGGGTTTGGGGATAAGGTTTTTGAGTGTAGAGCTTAGGGTCTAAAGTTTAGGGCTTAGGGTTCAGGTTTTAGGGGAGGGCAACCGAGATCCTCACTGAACCATAAATCCGAAAGCCTCAACAGGAGTTTCAGACAGTGACAATGAGGAGCCCGCTCTCAGCCCTGAACGCCAATGCCCTGGCAGTCACTACTGTTGATGATGTAAATCCTGCATTACGTATACCTTAAGGACCCTAAACTATGGGCACTATGGTATATTCCTTATTCTGGGTACTGCGGGATCCATATCGTCAAGCACATTTCTCCTTGTAAGCCCTATTTGGCGGATCCTCAAGAATCCCGAAGAGGAGCCCCAACTGGGCCCGTGAGTATTTAAGCATAGAGACCTCTACAGAGCCATAAGGGGAAATGATAAAGTGTCTCAAACTGCCACCTAGCTTTGGGGGTTTAGGCTTTCGGGGCCATGTTATGATCCCCATGGGCCCCAAAGACCCCCCCAAAAAGGGAGCCCCCAACCCTAAACCCTAAACCCTCAAGCCTAAACCCTAAAGCCTAAAGCCTAAACACTAAACCCTCAAGCCTAAACCCTAAACCCTAAACCCTCAAGCCTAAACCGTAAACCCTAAACCCTAAGCCCAATCCCTAATCTCAGCCGAGGAGCTTTCCGAAAGACTTCGGCATCCACGGTCTCGCCCTAAGGAGCCGCCCCGTTGCGGACTTTAGGCTGTTGGATCGCTTTTTGCTGGGTGCAGGGTCTAGGGTTGAGGGCTGAGGGTTTAGGGTGGAGGATTTAGGGTTTAAGGTGGAGGGTTTAGGGTTGAGGGTTGAGGGTTTAGGGTCAAGGGTTTGGGGTTTAGAGTTTAGGGTTGAAGGTTGAGGGTTTAGTGGGGTTTAGGGTGGAGGGTTTAGAGTTGAATGTTTAGGGTTTAGGGTAGAGGATTACAAGCACACTTCCTGAGTCCTGACTGCTACTGCTTTGGGAATCCCGGTACCCCTTCACAGTGAAATGTGGGAGATGACCCCAAGATGCAAGTAGTTCGGGGTATCATGGAAGGGGGACCGGGGGTCGAGGGATCTTGCGTTAAGCAAGCTCGAGATTGAGATTTTCAACACCACATCCTCGGCCCTGAACCCTGGAGTTTGCGACCTGCTAGAACCCCTACGAAACCCTACAAAGTCGCTAAAGCCCTATCGAAAAAATGAAAAACCATTGTAGAACCATGCACAGCCCATCTACACGTACGTGTGTGTGTATACATATAACTATGTATAGGCTATATGTATGTATGCTTTCTATGAACATACAGACATGTACCCGTACATAGATATATTTACGCACGCAGAAAGAATCAACAAAAGGAAGAAAGAAACACACAAACAAGGGAAGAAAAAAACGAGGCCTGTAGTGGCTCGAAGCTGTCCACGCGTGGCAGCCGCGGCGGAACATCGACCTCGTAGCTCTGCTGCTGATGACACAAAAGGCACGAAATCCTGCATTACCCATAATGAGGCTTGAGGACGGTATGCCAGAATTCCCATAGTTGACTCAGGGTATTGTGGGATGTTGTCCATCTGCCGTATGGCTCACTTCAGGGCGGACATAGAAAAAAGCTCTTGTGTAGCAAGTTGGAATGTAAAGCTTGAAAAAGCGAAATACTAGTATATTGCTAGCGGCTCTTTAATACATCGTGTTTATGCCATGTTCTACGCAAAATGCTCTATACTACGGGACGCTTGTGAGGGCTTGTAGGGACCGAATCATTCGAGAAGGGTCTGTGGCGCTCTGAACAGTTGCAGTAGTTCTACTTCTGCTGGATGCCACAGCAACTCCCGAACAAGTGATGGTATTCCCTCTAGTTTGCTCTAAGGGTCGGAGGACAAGGGGTTTCCAACTGTATAGCAGCTGCTGCAGTGTTCGGTTTCAGACTGAACGGATCCCTGATTCTGAGACCTTAAACCCTAAACTCCTAAACCCAGCATCGGCACGGTTGCTGTGGCAAAGCCCGTTGGGGATGAGGTCTACGGTACAAGCCCAAAAGTTGGAAACCCAATAGCCTCAGTCCTTAAGAGTAATGTAGAAGGAATCCCAGCACTAGTTGTCCTTAATCCGGATTCCAACTTTGTAGGGTTCCCAAAACCCAAAACCCTAAACCCTAAACCCTAATTCCTAAACCCTAAACCCATAATTCCTTAGTAACTTTCTGGGGTTTACTATACCCATAGGCTCCATAGTAATTCCTTTTTGGGATTGCCTTATAGGATTCTAAATACGAACCCCCAAAAGGAACTACTATGGCAGAAGATTCAGCCAAGCACCAAGTTCCTCATGGGAAGTTTGGGATTTAGGGTTTAGGGCTTATGGGTTTAGGGTTCTAAAGCCGCGGAGCCGCAAAAAAAACATTCACAAGTTACAGACCACAAAAGTCACAAAAACTCAAGCCTCAATCGGGTCCAAGAAGATCAACTAGACATAAGGATCTCAGAGCTGGGGTTTTCTGGTATCACCTTATTAAGCTCCTTCTAATCCCAAACCTCGGATCCTTCCGTTCACGCGCGATCCCTTCACCCTAGGCCCCAAACCCTGAGATTTCAACCCTAAACCCTACACACTGAACCGTAAACCTCTAAACCCTACACCCCTAAACCCCGAAACTCTAAACCCTTAAACCCCTAAACCTTAAGCCTCAAACGCGAAGAACTTCACCCTGAACCCGGGTCCCCGGGCTAACTCGAGCTCTAACTTGCCATCGTGGATGTCGAAGACCCGAACGACCAACCGGTCTCCTTGAAAGTTGGATAGGGTTCAGGGTCTATGGGTTAGGGTAGGCTTCTGCGGTGTTGTACAGGGTGTTTGAGGTTGTTGAAAAGGGTTTTTGCAAGGTACCCTATGGTAGCATATTGCCATGCGTTGACGGAGCCCTTCGGAGGTTATTGGTAATTGTCTGGGCACCTATAACCCTAAGCCGCAAAGGTTCCCAAAGTCTTTGTCTAAGTCTTGCGGAGATTTATGAAAGGGAGTTTGGGGTTAGTCACACCAACACTCTTCGTCATCACTGTCGTCCATTGATGCTGCTGCTGCTACAACAACAACAACAACAACTACTACTACTACTACTGCTACTACTACTACTGCTACTACTGCTACTACTTCTACTTCTACTTCTACTTCTACTTCTACTTCTACTTCTACTACTACTACTACTACTACTACTACTACTACTATGGATGATTAATTGCAATAAACCCCGAGTGAGCTGAGCAGTGAGCTTCCTTTGGCTCGCAAAGGGAATGAACAGCTCACTGCTCACCTCCTTTCCCCCCCAATGAGGTGAGCAGTGGAAGTGCTTTATATATGAAAGCCCCACGGACCTGCATCAGTGCTTCGAAGCATCAGTGCTTCGAGGCTGTCACTGAAGTGCAGGAGCTCTGGCTTGTAGACCTTCAAGCGGCTGAGGTCCGTGGTGGACGGCAGCTTCCTTCGGTAGTTTGCGTTGCCCTGCAAGTTGCTGAGCTGCTCTTCCAGGTACTGTGGAAGGTACATGGGCCGAGTCGATTTCTTGTGTAGCTCGTGTAGGTCGTCCATCCCGTAGAAGAGTTGTAGCAGAGTCGTCCCCACCTGTCCCGGTGTGGCCTCCAGCAACACGGGCTTGTAGGCGAGGCTGTCATCCTCGCACTTCACTCGAACAGTAGCGGGTCGCTGCAGGGAAGCCGGTCTGCTGGCCGTAACAGCTGGTGACAAGGCAGCTGCCGCTGGGGCCTCTCGCTGCTGCGATATTGTCATCTTGCATAACTTGTACATGCGGTCGTTCTGCTCCTTCTGCTGAGCTAGACAGCTTCGATTGTATTCGGTTTGCTGCCTATTTTGCTCTTTCATTTGCTGGAGCATCTCGCCCATGAGGGCGAGCATGCTGAGTAATCCCGAAAATTACAGGTATTTTGAACCCAAAACATATACTATGTGGGTAACTGTCAAAATCATGGTTTTGTTGTGGGAAACCCTTTTTGGTATTTATTCTATTAATATGGCACCCCAAGCGTTTAGGAATTAAGGGTTCAGGGTTCACGGTTTAGGGTTTAGAGGTTTAGGGTTAAGGCGTTTAGGGTTTAGTGTTTAAGGTTTAGGGTTCAGCGTTTGGTGCTAAACTTTAATAATTTAGTCCTCTTACTCTACTCTTAAACTGAAACCCTGACCCCCACGTCTGAGCCCCGAACCTCCACCGACATGAAACCGTAAACCTTAGATTCAGGGTTTAGGGTGTAGGGTTTAGGGTTCGCACTACTCTCCGGAATGCTGAGCTAAGACGAGGGTACCTGCTGCTATGCGTCCTTGTTCTGAAATTGAATTTGAGTATGTAATACACCGAAGTCCAGGCACAACTGAAGAATCAGTGGGGTGTCATACACAAGTACAAACTGAAGCCCATTCGTCTAAACTCTGCTCACATTGGAGGCAGGGCCCCATACATAGGAGCCTCTTCGCAAGCGCAGTC